ATTACAGCTAAATATTCAGCAATGATGATTAATTCATAATAATTTACATAATCACACTGAAGTTGAGTAATCGGGTATATTATAAAAAGTAAATCCCTTTGAACCTTAAGAGCACTGACTCACCAAAAGCCAGCAGGATCTGAACCCAAATGTATTTATTAGCGACTTATGAATGGATGAAACACCAAAGGTGTGCGCTAACAAAAACCTCACCCCCATTAGAGATGAGGTCGGAGCTGGGTGATCATGTGATCGCATTTCTTTTCTGTTCCATCATGGTGATCAGCTGAGTTTATTGATCAAAAATGACGGAAGTGTGTGGGATCGGGAGGGGGCGGTAAAGACTCTTACACGTGAGTTGCCCGCCAACTTTAAGCGAGAAAAAGAAGCAGCAGCAGTGTTTGGCCCAATCTCAACTCTCGCGCTTGACCTGCAGTATTGGACCCTTCATTCACGCGTTCCCGGCCAGGGGTGCAGGTGCGTAGGGCGTCCCGATTCTCAAGTGCGGAAGTTGACCACGCCCTCATTGCACCCTTAATCTGCACTTCACCCAAGTCCGCAGCGATCCGGACCTCGGGCAAGGGTATGACCCACAAGCCATTGCTGCTGGAGAAAAGGCTCAAGTTCCTTTTCTGAAAATACGTATTTTCTAATGAAATTGGTTAATTTTAGGACGATTATTTGATGCTCTAAAACTTTTAGACAAATTAGCAATAAATGTAAATTTATTTCAAATAACTGTTTGGCTGTTTGTTTAACCCTTAAAAAAAGCTACTCTGGGGACCCTCGCACACAAAAAAATGCATTTTAATAAAATGTGTATTAAAAATTATATAATATTTCTAAAGTCAACTTTTTTTTCCACAGATTCTTTCCTTAGCTTCAGTCCTCACTAAACATAATAAAATGTTTGAGTGTTTTTTAGATTTAACTCCTTTAGTGCCATGTTTTGTCAAAACAATGTAAGCCTAAATCATTTTTTGTGTTAGAAAAATGCTCAAACAATGATGGCCATTTGAAAGTTTATTGTAACAACAGTGTGGGTGTGGGTGGGTGGGTGCGTGTGTGCGTGCTGCAAACAGTGCACACAACTGTGGAGTGCTCCTTGCAGACAGCCAGGTCACATTTGGAGCAGAAGTGGGCAAACATGCTTCGCTTGCCTTGGCAGAGATGGCACCTTTCTTTCATCCTCTTCTCTTCCTCCGGAGGTCTGCTCTGCGCTGGTCGACCCGTCTCCGCTCCGGGAGCGGTACACTCCAGCCAGGATCAGCAGCCCAAAATATGCCCGCAGCTCTGTCGCGTCAGTCAACATCCACTCGGCATTTCTCCGGATCCCCTCCATATGTTCGTGTGGCGAACGATCAGGTTGAGGATTTCATCCGTAATAAAAAAAATAAAACAATGCTCAATGTTTTCTGTTCGGCTCACAGTATACAGAGTGATACTGGAACGCGGGATTTTTTTCTCATTGAAAATGATGGCTCTCCTGCGGCATGCCGCTCTTTGAACTCCACGTAGAATTATCTGCTCCTCCCTCCTCCAGGTCTTCATCAGAGTCAGACTGTGGGCCTGCTGGGACCAAACTTTCATCCTCTGAGTCCACAGAGTCATAGTCAGAAGACGAGCTTTCCCCGCTGGACAGTGTTGGTTCCTGCTGGGCTTCTAGCTCACAAAAAAGTTCACAGGCTTGTGATACATTGAGACGTCATGCCATTTTTGCAGTGGAAAAAACTAATCCCAATCTGAGCCGTCTTTATAAGCGTTTTCAGCAAGAACACAGGTGTAAACATTGATTGATGCAGGCATTTGTTTTTACAGGCTGCATCTTTGAAGTTATAGCTGTTGATACTTGTGTGTTCATGAGCTTTGATCTGTTCAAAAAGTTGTATTCTTGTCAGCATTACAACTTGTAACTGTAAATAAATTAGTAACTTCTGACAATTTGCAGCACATTCAGTTTATATCTAGCTACCACAAAGTTATGGTGTAGATCAAAGAGTCTTACAGTGACATAGAAAGCCCCCCCCCCCCCCAAATAAACCCACCAAAGCATGAAAAAAATCTTTCCTCTAACTTGTCTAATGCATTTAGTCATAAGTGCGTGTTTGTGTGCAGAAAGAAACGCTCACAAAAAACACATAAATCTGTTTAAGGTTTCTTGAATCACTGATATTAGACTTGGTGGGAACTGATTTTTCTAATGAAAACTGAAAAAAAACACAGCCCCATAGATCATGAAAACACATGCACACTAGTCTATGACAAAATGAACCAAAGCTTCCTCCCAGTTTCTCTTTAAAGAGCAAGTCACCCCCAAATAAACAATTTTTTTCTGATAAACTATATAAATGCGTGTCTAATCATGCTGCAGACACATGTAGTCAATAGTTTTGCACTTTAGTGCATTTTAGTTAAAATTTAAAATTTCTGCCTGAAACTGTCAGTGTTGTACCGTTGTCAGGTAAAAACTCTTGACTGCATTTGAATTTAAATCTGCCATCGCCATTGGCTAAGAGGTATGCTATGATGTAAACTGGTAGATTATGATGTCACAATGTCGTGAGTGTGTGTATTTGTAGTGGCTCCACCCTCTCCGTCTGCTAGGCAACAGCATTTGTTGCATTTTTCAAACATGAAGTGGGAGTGAAGTACGCTTCTTGTAAGGGGTGACTTGCTCTTTAAGCTGAATTTAACATCATTTTATCATCATGAAACAAAAGAATAAAGTGGAACAAGAACTTCTATCTTCTATTTATCTCTACTTTTAACTTCTCCGTGTCCCTAAATAAAAGAGACAGATGATAACTCTGCAGTCACTGACCCCGCTCCCTCCCCAAGACCGGATCTCCCAACATCACAGCACTCGGTCTGACTGAGCGCTTCCAGGAGAAACAATAATGAACTTATGAAAATAATAACGCGTGTTTGGAGGAGCATCCTCTGATCTCTCTCTCTTTCTCTTTCTTTCTTTCTTTCTTTCTTTCTTTCTTTCTTTCTTTCTTTCTTTCTTTCTCTCTTTCTCTCTTCTTTCTCTCTCTCTCTCTCTCTCTCTCTTTCTCTCAGTCGCTGATGGAACGAGCGGAGCGCGCTGCGCGACAACCCGCTCAATTAACATAATTCACAGCCCAAATCCAACAGAACCGATCGGGCTGATTCGGTTCGGTCTCGGGTTACAACTCCGGCGCTCAGCCCTGCAGTACCACATAAAGGCAGACCAAAGTTTCCTACCTGGTACATGTAGACAACCACCACTCTGACACATCTGGATGCTACACTGGTGCCGCCATTAAAATAACAAAACCACATTCCACCGTCATTGATTATTCTTCTATGATGCAGAATCGTTTATGCCTGCACCTCATGCATCGATTATTTGATTATTTTCCACAGCTCTATCTATTCTACACCTCCCGGTCGGCGGTCAGGGGTGGGGGTGCGCGCGGGGTTTGGGGGCCATAAATAGAGGGCTCGCGGGCCGGACGTGGCCCGCGAGCCGTCATTTGCGGATCACTGCCTTACAGCGTACTTTCTCCAAGTGCACTTTGCGGAAGTCCACAGGGAGCAGTGTGTGTATTGAGATTGGGCCTTTGAGACAAGTCAGTTTCCACGTTCCTGCTCTGCTGCTGCGGGGGAGAAGATTTGTCCGTTCCCACTATCAGAACTCCAGAGTCATTTAATTGAACCTTCGCTGTATTCGCGTGTCTCCATTTTACTAGCCCGGTCCAAAAGGATGATTTTCCAAACCAACAGGGAACCGAGCAGGAAAACCTGGTGGAGTTGCGGAGTGAAACCTCTGGTTAACTCCTGCTGATTGGTTGTAACTGGATGGGAAATGACATCAGCAGTCACCGCCAAAACAACCAGCATCTGTAAAATTAAGAGTTGTTGGTTTTGTGAAATAGAAGGAATAGATTTCAGTTTTTTATTTTTTAATTTAGCGCTGCTTTATAAAAGCAATTTTAAAAAGCAGTGATTTAAATCGAGATTAAGGATTAAAATATATAGTGATCTTTATTTTTTTCCATCTGGCCCAGGTGAGGTGATAAACTTATTAATGCATGTTTGTGTTTTAGTGTACATAAAGAATAAATGTAAACTGTGGATCAGTGTTTAGATCCTTTGTTTTTTCTCCATTTAAGCAGCTTTGTTACTGATGGCCGCTCCGGTTCACACTCCCATGAGCCGGTTCCAGTGTTTCTGTCAAGCTGAAGTATAAACTTGTGACAATATTTTCACTCAGCGTTTCAGTTTGTTTCTTCATCCATCATCTCCTCTGAGACCGAAACCTGGTCTGTTCTGGTGGCCGCTGCTGTTAGCCTGGCCTGCCAGACTCCTCCTCTGTCTAATTCTGCACTTTCTCTGTACAGAATTAGACAGAGGAGGAGTCTGGCAGGCCAGGCTACACTGCTATAGCTTTGCTAACAGATGTTTCTGCTCATTTTGTCCACCAGTTTCTTGAATCTTAGACCAGAGTCAGTTGTGAGCCTTTGTGGGTTTATTTACCCAGTTCATACATCAGAGGTGTTTCAGGTGTCTGAAAGGATCAGAACATTTATGTGAATAGGATTTTAGTCCACTCTTGACTTGATCTCAAAGATCACTGAAGCAAAGTTCCTAGTAACACAACAAAGTGTGTACCAGCACTTCAGAGGCCTATCAAATGAAAATGTTGCTGTTGGTACTAAAAGGAAGTGAGGCAGCACCCTCTGGATCTGACCCTATATGTGACCCTGCAGGTATCGGATGAGCGGCATGCGCAGCTACAACCCTGAACAGATCATGCTGAGCGCCACGGTCAGGACGTCCAGTCGAGACATGAATGTGATGAAAGAGAAACTGATCTTCTCTGGTAAGGCTGTGGCAGGAGGAGGAAGCCATGCCTCAGTGTGTTCCAACTCTTGGCCTGCCTCTTCATCCCAGCGTGTGTGTGTGTGGTGTGTGTGTGTGGTGTGTGTACATTCTCACTCCATCTCTTTCATGTTGAAGGTCAGCCTCCGTAATCGCCTCCCTCTACCATCCTTTGTGTGATGTGTAACACCTCCTGACCATCCTACCACCTCCAAGCATGGACCTGTTCTTTTAACATCCAAACATCTCCCTTTTTCTGCTTCGCCCTCCTTCTCCTTCTCCCTTCTTACTCCCCAATCCTCCAACTGGAGGGGAGCTCATAGTTGTCTGTCTCGACAGGCTCTAGTCCTGGGGAACTAAAGTAAGTTGCTGCGGTGTATGTGTGATGAAGCTGACAGGTTAGAAGAGTAATGCTGGTTTTTATATTTATCATGTGTCAACACCTAGAGGTGAGAAACGGAGGCGGCGCTGAGGAACTGTACGAGGAGCATGGCTACGGCTAAGACAACCACTGATGTTCACCTCCTCCTGTTTGGATCTGCTGTAACATGAAGCCATGGTTCACCAGTAGGAACTCTCCTCAGGCCTGCTGATGAACTCACACATACCCTGTTGATTTGTGTACATGTTTGTTTTTCCTCTGACTACCTGGTGGGTGGATCTGTGGCGATGGAGGCTCACACAGGATTTAAAGCACTTCTTAAAGACATCTTCTGAATCTGGGGGTTCCTGCTGCTACATGGAAATGTGAAGAGGCTCCTGCGGCTTTCTTTACATGAAGCTATTCTCCCAAAGCTGTTAATTATTATTTAAGGACCGTAAAGCGTGGAGGTGAATTTCTCTCTACAAAGCTTTTATTCAGCATGATTCTCCTGCCTCCATGCAGAATAATAGTATTTATATTTAAAAACAAACTGTTTACAGATGTCTTGCCTTCACCCAGTGCACGTGACGTATTTTGATACTCCCACCCGTCTGATTAGTGCATCCATCATGAGGATCATCTGAACTTCATGGGAGCTGTGCTCCTGTGAAGCAAGAACTGGTCAAAATGGTTTGCAGCTAAGTGTGTGTGTGTGTGTGTGTGTGTGTGTGTGTGTGTGTGTGTGTGTGTGTGTGTGTGTGTGTGTGTGTGTGTGTGTGTGTGTGTGTGTGTGTGTGTGTGTGTGTGTGTGTGTGTGTGTGTGTGTGTGTGTGTGTGTGTGTGTGTGTGTGTGTGTGTGTGTGTGTGTGTGTGTGTGTGTGTGTTTACCTTGTGCAGTGTTATATTGAGAGTGTTGTAATATATCAAAGGTGAGCTTCTCCAGTGTTGGGGGACTTGGACTTGCAGTATATCTGTGGTGTTTTTAGTGTTGACTAATGTGATGCATGTACCTGCTGGTGGGCTTAGATTTGGGGAATTAAACCAACTGAAGGGAACTTATAGATATTTTAATGCGCAGCACATTCCAGAATGGCTGCTTCCGTTTTATTTTCTATTTGTTTGAATGGCTGAGAAGTAAAGATGAAATAACATAATATTTTTATGTATTCTGTCGATTTATTGGTGTTTATTCTTGCCTATATAAGTAGGTATTCAAAAACAAACTATACATTTACTTTGTCCAGCCTGTTTAAGGTCAAAAGTCAGACATTCTCCTTCAGGATTTCTGGCAGACTGCAGCCTTAAACCATCACACATTTGACTGTTGGTGTATGTTTCTGAAATGGGAAACACCTCCCTGTTGCACTTAAGTGAGTAAGGATGCTTTTCCATCCTCTGCTGGATCAAAACTGTTATTACAGGTAGCGTTCATAAAGTTAAACAATATAAAACTCAGCAGCACATCTGTGGATTCCTTACAAATTAATTATACCACTTAAGATTACTGCAGGTTTTAAATTGGTGTTAACAGCATAATGAGAGTCTGAAAGTCTTCACTCATACAAACTAACTACTAAAACTCAACAAAGCTATTTTAATTACGTGTTCAAGATTAAATCAATGAGCTACAGCTGGAGCTATTAGCAGATAGCTACAAAACGGAACATTTTAAGGCTTTATTAAGATAAGGAGGCTAAATATTATCTAAAAAGTGGCTAAAAAGAACAAACATGTAGTGCCAGCTTTCAGACACTAGATGGCAGCAGCTCTCCATCTTCCTTTTTCTAAATGCTGTCCCCATCCCAGCTCATGAAGAATGGGAACAAAAACAAAAGTGTTGCGTTTATTTTAGTTAGGTGTAAATGTGGTCAGCCAGGAATTACTAAGTAGGTGAAAACATGATTTAGATATTTTTATGTCGTTTTATGTATTTTATTAGTGTAACTTGCACCCACACTATTTAGATATCTGTTATTTTAATTCTGTTTGGATATAAATGCCTAACCAGGGACAAGGGCTGTAAATTAGCCTCAGGCTAGAAGCCTTATTTATATTGCATCTGTTGCTTATGGTGGTAGTGTTTTGTTGTACAGTCCCTGTAAAAGTAAAGGACACACACACATACATGATGTAAGGAGACGAACACTAAGGCAGTAAAACCTGGTACAATGAACCAGAAAACGTACAGAATGTCAATGCTTTGAGTTGGTAAGAAAGCTAACCATGAATTACAAAGAACTACAAAAAATACTGTAACAGGAATTAAGCAGACCAAAACTAAAGCAGAAAACTAACAGAGTGTAATGAAGCATTACAAACAGCGGTCAGCCACAAAGTCGTCTTCCCTCACTGCAGGGTTTTATGTTTACAGCCAGATCTTGATGAGTTTTGTGAAGAAAATGTGAACTCATCGCTATAATAACCTTTCTGTCCTGTTTTGCTACAGTTCCAGTTTTTATAATAAAAGAACTGAAAAACGGCAGTTATTAATAAATCCTGTTACATTTGATCACACTGTTGGACTAACTATATCTGTTGGCCCTACTGGGGTTATTTTATAATTTAATTGTTAGACTATCTCATGTCTACACTTTAATAGGTTAAGGCTGCTACAGCAGATCTCTCAGCATCTCATTTAATCTGTAGCAATTAATTGAAATGTTATTCAAAGCTGATTTAGTTTTATTTTTCAGCTGTTTTCATTATTCTAGAAGAGAAACAGACCTGCTGGGCAAAATAGGGCAGTTTTATTATATTTCATACCCAGGTAAGGCACACATGTTTATCCTATTTATTTGTTCTATTATTTTTTTTTGAATGAAATAAATGTGAGGGGGATAAAAGTAGCCAATCGTAGTAGAGCCCTTCTAGCCAATCAGAGGCGAGAAAGGCGGGATCTTCCTTGGACATCCTACGATTCCAAAGCTGGCATTCAATTCTGCTTGTAACCAAGCGAAATCCCACGAGCTACGGTGTCCTGTTTGGAAAAACGTCTCAGAACTGCTGAGAACACAGAGAACACGCCACACACATAAACATGTTTAAAAAAATATTTGTATCAGGCTATTATATAGTGTTTTTTTGTTTATTCGTTTTAGGAATTTTTATTGCAAGTATGTTTATTTTTCTATGTACGTATTTTGTGCTCATATGTATGAAGTACTTGGACATCGGGCCAAATAGGAATTTCATTGTGCACAGACGTTTTTTTTTTATTGTGCGAGGAAGTGTGCCACTGCGCATATGAAGCGTCATTATAAACAAAAGCACGTGCTTTGTTGCCATGGTAACAACAACCCCTTTGATCACCAGACGCTCCTGGAGCCTAACTATTACGTCATCTCCGCGCTTTGCTCATTTGACTTCTGACGTCATAGAGCGAGGACATCTCTGCACAGACACACGGATCTACAAACGTTTAGCTTTTCATTTTCACTTTTCTCTCAACAAATATTAACTACAAACATGCGTTTTGGATTTAACACGTCACATTTTGCTAATGGTATTAATTTTATCAAGAAAAAACTGAAAAAGAAGTCAAAACAAGTTCCCATCCGAAATAATTTGACAGCGGATGAATTCAAAGAGAATGTTACAGAGACGTCCGCTAAACCAATGGAGGTTAAAGGGCTGGTGGACACTCTATCCTGTAATGTAGAATATTCTTCCACAGCTATGGATAAGATGAAGAAAGATTTGGAAGATTATCAGGTCACCATTTTTTATCTGGCTAAAGCCCTGAAAGAAGAAAAGGAGCAAAACATTCAACTAAAGATGTCTCTAGCTGCTGCTATGGATAAGATGAAGAAAGATTTTGAAAATTATCGGGTCACCGTTGTTAATCTGGCTAAACCCCTGAAAGAACAAAAGGAGCAAAATATTCAACTAAAGATGTCTCTAGCTGCTGCTATGGATAAGATGAAGAAAGATTTTGAAAATTATCAGGTCACTATTTTTAATCTGACTAAGGACCTGACAGAACAAAAGGAGCAAAACATTCAACTAAAGATGTCTCAAGTTGCTGCTATGGATAAGATGAAGAAAGATTTTGAAAATGATCAGGTCACCGTTGTTAATCTGACTAAAGACCTGAAAGAACAAAAGGAGCAAAACATTCAACTAAAGATGTCTCTAGCTGCTGCTATGGATAAGATGAAGAAAGATTTTGAAAATGATCAGGTCACCGTTGTTAATCTGACTAAAGACCTGAAAGAACAAAAGGAGCAAAACATTCAACTAAAGATGTCTCTAGCTGCTGCTATGGATAAGATGAAGAAAGATTTTGAAAATTATCGGGTCACCGTTGTTAATCTGACTAAGGACCTGACAGAACAAAAGGAGCAAAACATTCAACTAAAGATGTCTCAAGTTGCTGCTATGGATAAGATGAAGAAAGATTTTGAAAATGATCAGGTCACCGTTGTTAATCTGACTAAAGACCTGAAAGAACAAAAGGAGCAAAACATTCAACTAAAGATGTCTCTAGCTGCTGCTATGGATAAGATGAAGAAAGATTTTGAAAATTATCAGGTCACTATTTTTAATCTGACTAAGGACCTGACAGAACAAAAGGAGCAAAACATTCAACTAAAGATGTCTCAAGTTGCTGCTATGGATAAGATGAAGAAAGATTTGGAAGATTATCAGGTCACTGTTGTTAATCTGACTAAGCAAAACATTCAACTAAAGATGTCTCAAGTTGCTGCTATGGATAAGATGAAGAAAGATTTTGAAAATGATCAGGTCACCGTTGTTAATCTGACTAAGGACCTGACAGAACTAAAGGAGCAAAACATTCAACTAAAGATGTCTCAAGCTGCTGCTATGGATAAGATGAAGAAAGATTTGGAAGATTATCAGTTCACTATTTTTAATCTGACTAAGGACCTGACAGAACAAAAGGAGCAAAACATTCAACTAAAGATGTCTCAAGTTGCTGCTATGGATAAGATGAAGAAAGATTTGGAAGATTATCAGGTCACTGTTGTTAATCTGTCTAAGCAAAACATTCAACTAAAGATGTCTCAAGTTGCTGCTATGGATAAGATGAAGAAAGATTTTGGAAATGATCAGGTCACCGTTGTTAATCTGACTAAAGACCTGAAAGAACAAAAGGAGCAAAACATTCAACTAAAGATGTCTCTAGCTGCTGCTGAAAACAGGACGGTCTCGGCCCAAGCTGAAACTAGAAAACTTGAGCAGGAGTTAGATAAGTGTCAAAGCGTTATCATAAATTTGACCAAAAAGCTGCAGAATAAGAAAGAAGATAAAGTCCAATCGATGGAGTGGGTCACAGGATCAGAGAAAAGTCCCATTTGCACACAGAATGAGAAATTCTCATTTCATATTTCCCCTCAAACTGAATCTCCTGTCATGAGAAATGTCACGACTGATCCAGTTTTGGTGAGAAATACAAAACCAGCAGCTAAAATTGAAGAAATTCCCACCAAAGCTGAACCAGTGTTAATTCCTGTTAGAAAACCAGCGTCTGAAAAAGATTCTGGTGTCCAAAATCAGACCGTTTCAGAGCAAAAGCGGGTTCCTGCTTTGTTACCAGGGAGGCTGTTAAAAACTGTGGCAACATCCGATCAAAACAAAGCCTTTGGAAAATCAGGACTGGCCACAAAGGAGGAAAAAGATTCTGTCCAATCAAATGAGAAGAGAGAGAAAATGAAGACGGAAACTAAAATGAAATCTCCCACACCAGTTAAAGGACGTGGGCTGGTGAAAAACGTTGCTGGTTTCACAAAACAGGAGGAAAAAACAGTTCAAAGTTATTTTCACAGTCCAGAGAAAATCTTCTGCCAGTTATCAAACTGTGCAAATAACTGCTGGATGAATTCTTCGGTACAGGCGATTGCAAACCTGCAAACTGTCAAAACAGCTCTCAGTGGCTGTGCCCGAGAACATCTGATGCCTTCACCAGTTCCCTTGTTTTCTGAATTTTTCCTCAAAGTTCTGAATAATCCAGGGAGATATTTCTCCTCAGGAGAAATCCTCCCAGTTCTGAAGGACATTAGCTGGCACATCCCATCATTACAGCTGGCAAAACAGAATGACATCGCTGATTTTCTGAACCCTGTCCTGAAATGGCTCGATGATTGTGGCGTTCAGTCATCTCTGGAGGTGAGTCACGTGCGCCACTGCAACAACTGTGGACAGGACTCCACAGACACAAACAGCGTGGGAAACTTGGCTTTCATGTTTACAACACAGCCAAACGACTCCACCAAAGCCCTTCTGGATCGAATGATATTCGACAACGCCACTGTGAAGACCTGCAGCTCCTGCCAATCAAAAACGAGCTGCAGCAGTTACCTTAATTCCCCTGATGTGGTGGCTTTATATCTGCCCAGAGGTTTTTCAGGCAGAGACTTAGTTATACCGGATGCAACCATAGAAATCCCTCAGCAGACTGGAGCACAGAAGTACAACTTAGCTTCTGTCATCTGCCACGAACAGCTGTTCTTTGGTAGTGCCCACTTTTACACGTATGTGAATTATAGAAACCAGTTTATAAAAGCCAACGACACGAGCATTTCAGTCGCAAAGTCCAACGGAAAGAAGGACATGTATGAAAATGGAATCATCTACGTTTATGAAAGATGTTCGTAAGATCTTATTAGCTCTGCCACTTGCAGCAGAAACTTGTGGGCCATTCCCATCTGTACCAGGTCGGCCCGGGCCGGATAGCGTAGGTTTTTTACATATCTGGGTGGCCTGGTATTTTTCCGGGCCAACCAAGGCTCATTCTCAGCCCTCTTCTGGAGGGGGTCTGCTTCAGGCCAACCAGGGCCAACACACCCACTGCTGACAGCAAATTCACACCTTCCATTAGAGTAAGCCTCTGATTGGTGGGTAGAATCAGCCCACATGGGCTTAAGACAAGGATGTGTGGAATCAACCGGGCCAGGCTGGGGCCGACTGGGGCTACCCGGCCCGGGCCGACCCGGTACAGGTGGGAATGGCCCAATAAAGACCAGCTTAACCAGTCCTAGAGAGCCGGGAAGGTTGAAATATTTACATCAGGTCAGTTAGTGACTCTGTATCCAGGAGGACGTTTGATGGAGAATTATAAAACAGACCGCTTTAGAGGTCAACATGATAGATACCAAGGCTCTAAAGAGAGACAAAACATAACGACCCTCGGAGCCTGTAACACAGAGAACACACACACACACACACACACACACACACACACACACACACACACACACACACACACACACACACACACACACAAATATAAATATATATTAAATCCACAGCACAATATCATAATTTATGCATCAAATAATACAAACACAAGCACTGTTCGATCTTTATTATTGATTACTTTTCTGTTATTTATTAACATACTATTTTATACATTTAGTTACTTATTCCATCTTATTCACATGAAGGCGTCATATTTTAGCTTCTCACACACACATCTATGGGTGCACTAAGGTTTGTCTCATGGAACGTACATGGGGCTGGCTCCATAGAGAAAAGATTAAAGATTTTTGATCAGCTAAAGAGAGTGCAAGCAGACGTAATATTGTTACAAGAGATCTGCCACATCCGCAGATGAACTTAAAACACATGAGTTTCCCAGCATGTTCTCTGCCTGCTATAACTCTAGGCAAAGAGGTGTAGCTATTTTAATACACAAAAACATAAATTTCACAGTATTGGACACAGTCTCTGATCCAGAGGGTAGATTTATAATGTTAAAAATATCTGTACAGAACCAAAGCTTATGTATTGTCAGCATATACTGTCCAAATATTGATGACCCTCCATTCTTTCATAATTTTTTCTCTGTACTCTCCGAACACTTGGACTGTCCACTCATACATGGAGGTGATTTTAATTTTTGGATGTCTTTAACAGACAGGCTCAGTACAGCTGGGACTCAGCGCAATTGGCAATCCACCAACATAGTTAAACAGTACATGAGTGATTATGGGCTTTGTGATGCATGGCGATCTCTTCATCCTAACCGTAGAGAGTATACTTATTTCTCGCACATCCATCACTCTCATTCACGTTTGGATTATTTTCTACTTAGCAGCTCATTGTTGGCTGACATTTCAGACACTGAGATACACCCCATTGTTGTCAGCGACCATGCTCCGGTTTCTTTAACTCTGGTAAACAAGAAGACAATCCCACCAAGCAATTGTATGGCAAGCCAAATGAGCATTTATTCTGATATCAGGATATCAGCCAGAATTGTCATGAACATGTAAGCCATTTCTGTCCACTAGTTAACTAGTTAGACATGTTTGTGTCAACTAGTTAAATATCGAGGGTGAAAATGTGCCCACTAGTTAACTAGTGACAGCAGAAATGTGCACTAGTTAACTAGTGAACACATTTAGGCTTCAGTAGTTAACTAGTTGACACAAAAACTGCTCACTAGTTAACTAGTAAAAGCAGAAATGCATACCAGTCAGCTACTTGAAGGTATTTGTCTCACTAGTTAACTAGTGAGGGTCAAAATGTGCACACTAGTTAACTTGTGGTAGACATAAATGCGCACTAGTTAACTAGTGAACACATTTTGGCTTCACTAGTTAACTAGTTGACACATAAATGGCTCACTAGTTAACTAGTAAAGACCAAAATGCATGCCAGTCAGCTAGTTGAAGGTTTTTGTGTCTCACTAGTTAACTAGTGATGGCCAAAATGTGCACACTAGTTAACTTGTGGTAGACATAAATGTGCACTAGTTAACTAGTGAACACATTTTGGCTTCACTAGTTAACTAGTTGACACATAAATGGCTCACTAGTTAACTAGTAAAGGCCAAAGTGCACACCAGTCAGCTAGTTGAAGGTTTTTTGTGTCTCACTAGTTAACTATTGATGGCCAAAATGTGCACACTAGTTAACTAGTGAAGGCATAACTCCTAACTAGTTAACTAGTTGGAGTAGGTCAGTGCCACTAGTTAACTAGTGAACCATTAATGGCTCACTAGCTAGCTAGTTGATGGCAGCAGGCTCACTAGTTACCTAGTTGATGCATCCATTGTCCAAACTAGTTAACTAGTGAGGACATAAATGTATACTAGTAAACTAGTTCAAGTCTACATTCACACTAGTTAGCTAGTTGCGCAGAATTCTAATTAGGAGGCGGCAAATTTCTCAAATTAAGACTCTCTATTGGCTCCCTGTGTCAAAATAAAATATGACAACCAATCACAGTGCGGAATTTTGTAAAATCCCACCCCAAACATTTGCATGCAGCACACAAGTTAACATGCTGGCCAGAGGAACCTCAGCTAGTGAACTAGTAGTGGCTTCAGTGTGACACTTACATGTAAACTTGTGAAGGCGGAACTGCTCACTAGTTAACTAGAGAGGGTACAAATGTCCACTAGTTAACTAGTGAGGTGCAAAATAAGTGTCACTAGTTCACTAGTGGGCCCCAAAACGCCCACAAGTTAACTAGTAGGGTGCGGGTTTGCTCACTAGTTAACTTTTGAGGCACAGATATGCTCACTAGTTAACTAGTGATGTGCGGATTTGCTCACTAGTTAACTAGTGAGGTGCAGATTTGCTCACTAGTTAACTAGTGTGCCCTAAAGCACCCACTAGTTAACTAGTAAGGTGCAAAAAAACATCACTAGTTAACTTGTAAAGTGCAGATATGCTCACTAGTTAACTAGTGGGCCCCAAAACGCCAACTAGTTAACTAGTAGGGTGCGGATTTGCTCACTAGTTAACTAGTGAGGCGCGTATATGCTCACTAGTTAACTAGTGAAGTGTGGATTTGCTTACTAGTTAACTAGTGAGGCACGGATTTGCTCACTAGTTAACTAGTCAAGTGCGGATTTGCTCACTAGTTAACTAGTAAGGTGCGGATTTGCTCACTAGTTAACTAGTGAGGTGCGGATTTGCTCACTAGTTAACTAGTGAGGTGCAGATATGCTCACTAGTTAACTAGCGAGGTGCAGATATGCTGACTAGTTAACTAGTGTGCACAAGACGCACACTAGTTGCTGTTTTTGGAGCAATCTAGTTTACTTGTTATGTAAAAATGTGTTCTTACTAGTTAACTAGTGACAAATTTACCTTCACTAGTTAACTAGTTGACATATTTGGCCTTTCTAGTTCACTTGTAATGGGACAGGAAGCACTCACTAGTTAACTAGTGAGCATATCTGCATTATAATTTTTTCTCAGTAGCTTATAGAGGGCAAACTGAGCCTTACATGTTAAGTAGTGAACACAAAACACTGTCACTAGTTAACTAGCTGCAGAAAAATGCCCCTAAAACTAGTAAATTTGTGGAATTTGAATAAATACACACTTGGCTGGCATTCTGTGTAACATGTTAACTAATTCGACCGCTGTACTGCTCACTAGTTAACTAGTGAGCAAATCCGGCCATTACATGCAAATGAAGAAATGCAGAACAGCAATGTGATTGGTCCATTTAGGACTGAGAAACAGAGAAAGTATGGCGGACTCTGTTCAGGCTGTTCTAAGAGAAAATTTGATAAACTAAGATCGTTTGAGCATATAAATATGTTTTGACGACATTTGTAGCGAGAAAGTTGTGGTGTATTGCTGTAATCTTTGTTCAGTTAACGTGTACAGTCTTTAGTTTTCAGTTATTAGTCTGAAAAAGCCTGGAGGCGGAAGGCAGCGGCAGACAGCATGTTTGTTTCTGTTGACAGGAAAGTGCAGAAACTCCGCAGAAATCTCCGTCAGATATATTGTTTCACATTTGTACGGAAGCGACAAGTTTATAATAATAAAAAAAGGCTCTATTTTACATACGTTGCTGTAAAGCCTGCCAGCACTCATGGTGTTTTGAAGGTATGAATTTGCAAAGGGATTTGGCATCCAGTGCTGGTGGTCTAGTTGCTAATGCGTTTGCCTGCAATGGTGATGGTTGCGGGTTCAATCCTGGTCCATATACTTTAGTTTTGTACATTATTTCACTTCTTTTCTTTTGCATAATTTTTGTATTTATGTCAACAAGAAACAAAATACGTAACGGATTAGTGGGCAGAGTTACACACACACACACACACACACACACACACACACACACACACACACACACACACACACACACACACACACACACAAAACATGTAAACAAGTAATTTATGAGTATGAATCTGATTATTGCCGACAGTCGATATTTAAGCATGTGTATCCCCTTCCACAATCCATCCTCGCAAAATAAAATCATCGGCACAGCACAGCAGGCTTTCTCTTGATCCAGAACTAGCGGGTGGTTATCAGAACCACCAGAATCTACAGAGCAGAGTTCTGAAACATGCTCACTTCTAAATTGATAATGTCCACGGCCATCTGATGCACAATCAGCTGCTCGCATTGCGGGAAACATTGAAAACAGCTTCATGAACTGAGACACAACAGGGTCAACATCGACAAAAAAATCCACAAATAAATCTAAATAATTAATGCTATTTCCGTCTTATTCGTTGAAATATACAAATAGCAGATCATAAATCTAGAGCTGAAAAAGCTGCTGCAGGAAGCAGGGTCTGTAGTTATTCATGCACCAATTCATCAATGTGATTATTGATCAAGATCAGGTAAACTGATATTACTGTTGCAACATTTCATTTGATCATCTGAATGATACCATACAACTGAATGACCTGTTGAGTCCCTGCATTTTCAGGTATTTACTACGGAAAAAAAACAACAGCAGGCAGCAGCAGGACTCCCCATGTTATTTCTCGGGTCGCTGGCCCGCGGTCGTCGGGGCCGCTGCGGTCAGCTCTTAGGTAGAGCCGGGAAGCCCTCGTTCGGCTGCGTGGGCTGCTTCACCGTGGACCAGCTCCCAGCAGCCGCTGGTCGGGAGAAACGCTCTGGCTGCAGCTCCGATCAGACCCTACCAACACCTCGCCACAGACAACACCGCATTAAAAGCCCACAATTACGACCCGCTCCCCAAAGTTACAGTTCTCAAGCACTGATGAACACATAAATAACCCACAACAGCTATGAAATGTCTGTTATTTACGGCAAAAAGGAGATATTTTTCAAGCCGACGTGCCAATGTTAACCGCAGTTGGCTTGGAAATGTGCTGATTTTATTGTTTTTGTCAATTAAAATCCCCCTTGTTTGCTCTTACGTTTTACGAAAACGTAATATTAATTAAAGCACGCTTTAGTGATCAGCATGTAAAGCAAAGAAGAAATGTGATCATTTCAACCCATTTCGAACCAACCAGTAATATGATTTCTTAACACGGTGCAGCGGCAGCATTTAAAAACCAAAATATAGTTTTTACTCTCCAAAAAAAGGAGAAGACAGTCACGGTGCAGCAACCCATTTTAGTCCATTAATCTCCACAATAAATATCCAGACAGAGAATTTCTACGGCCTCGCTGTAAACTCCAATGACACCCAGGACCGGTCTTAAAGAGACAACGCGGCTTAAAGGGAAAGTGTGTAGATTTCTGGCAATAGGGGGTAGTAAATACCAAAGTCACTGCAAACAAGCTGTATTTTTTGTTCAAGTGAGGACCTTACTAACTAATGCTTATAAAGCCAACAAAACCCTCTGGACTCTAGCTGTAACTCTCAAATTAGGATATGAGATTAATGACTCTGGTTCACGCTCCAATACATTAATTGTTTGAGAAATGCATCTTTTTTTGTTGAGTGCCATCCGCCAAATAACACACAAGAAAAGGAAGAAGAAGAGTGTTGTTGCACAGTTTTCAAAGGAGTCAAAAACCACCAGCAAAACCATAAATACAGCTAAATAAACATAGAATCCAACATGGCGTCCTCCAGAGAGTCAGACCCTCGCCTGTGTATTTTATTACTATGAAGGGTACATGAACTGATTAGGAACACAAGGTCATAGGGTCAAAGGTCAAGGTCGTGTGAGGTCATATATATATCAAAAATTGCCTGAACGGGTTGAATGATTTTGACCAAGTCAGAGGTGATAGCTCCCTATCAAAGGTAGATAAACTGATCAGGTCACAACCTCATAGGGTCAAAGGTAAAGGTCGTGTGAGGCCGTATATATGAAAAATTGGTTTTTGTGTGCAATATCTTCTGAACAGGTTGAAATACTTTGACCAAATCGCAGGTGAGAACTCCCTATCTAAGGTAAATAAACTCATGAGGTACAAAACCTCATAGGGTCAAAAGTCAAGGTTGTGTGAGGCCGTATATATGAAAATTTGGCTTTTGTGTGCAATAATTCCTGAGCGGGTTGAAGGATTTTGACAAAATCAGAGGTCATAACTCCCTATCAAAGATAAATAAACTCGTCACATACACAAGCTCATAGGGTCAGAGGTCAGTGTCATGAGAGGTAATACATATGACCAGTCAGGCATATCCCACGACGCTCTGCGTCGATTTGCGGGGCTTTCTTGTTTCTGCAGAGTTTATGTAGGGTGCTGCTGGTTTGGGGTGTTATGTCAGCAGGCAGAGTTTAGGAGTCTGACAGCTGTGGGAAAGAAACTGTTTCGGGACCTGGTAGTCTTAGTCCATAGGCTCCTGTAGCGCTTCCCAGAGGGCAGGAGGGTGAAGAGTCCATTCGATGGGGGACTGAAGTCTGATGGTTTTCCCTGCCCTTTTCAGACACCAAGAAAAGAGGAGAGTAACTTTATTTTGTTTGTGTGATTTTATTTTGTTGTGTGACTACTGGTTGCAGTTCCCTGTTCAATTGATTGCTGTTCCCTGTTAAATTAAAAAAGAAAAAAGTCTAAAGTTTTGTTTTGACTGGAGAGAACTAAAAAAGGTTACACTGTCTTCTGGTACTAGCTCAAAATAACAAGGGGTGCTCGCTGCAGAACCACAAAGGCGGAGCTGCACCAGAAGGTGGAGCTGCACCAGAGTCAGCCCCGCCCATTCCAGAATCAGCCCCGCCCATTCCATCAGAGTCAGTCTAATTCCTTCCAGTTGTCAGACTTGATAGCATTCTGGAACCAAAGAGGGTGTTGTAGCTAAAAAATGCGAGATTGAGGATGGAGTTGAGAAGTTAATTGAACAGTTTTTGTAAAGGTTCCATATAATTAAAAATCTAACTTTTGGAACTTTTAAACATGTTATATTGTCATTTCCTCATAAGAAACACGCCAAAGCCATTTTTAGCCTCATTCATGCATTTTCCTCCCATCTCAGCTTCAATTTGGTCTCCTCCCCCGAAGCAGGTCTGGTCTTGGTTCTCAAATCTGGATATTCTGTGAATTTTCTGACAAATTATTTCTGAAATGACTTCTACTGAGACACCGCCAATAAACCATACATCCCATCTCAGAGACACACTGGGCAGCACAATTACATGTAATGCCACATGATTTATAACAGATGTGGTGGTGTAGTGGTTATGGAGTCAGGTTGATATGCTGTTTTGCCTCCCAGTAGTGTAAGTTTTGGGTAGTTTA